GACAGCTTATATGCCGCCCCATCGCATAAGCCTTGGGGCAGCTTACAGTCATTAAAATCCTGCATATAAATACAAAAAATTCATCAAATAAATAAAATACATACAATAAAATAGTGGAAACAGCCTGGTCAGTTTAAAATCAACAAATACACCTTAACAGTTAAAATAGTGTTTAAATAAAGTCTTGGCCTGGAGCCAAAAAACAAATAACGATGGCACCAGGCAGACCTCTCTGGGAAGTGCATTCCATAGGTTGGGCACCACCACAGAGAAAGCCCTCCTCCGAGTACTCACCCTCCCAATATCCTTCACGGAGGGTTCCCAGAGAAGGGCCTCTGCCACCGATCTGCACTGATCTTCAGTACTTTTGTTCTTTGTAACATATTTTGTGGTACTACTGTGCACTGTGCCACAAGCCAGTTGCCACTTTCTGGGAGCTCCTAATAGCGGCATCTACTTTTAGCACCCCAATATCTCTTTTTACCAGCAGGGTTTGGCTTTTTAATAGCTTAAAACATTTGGAGGAGTTAGTTAAGCCTTGAGGAGATGCTGCACATGCCATCTGCCATGTTCAAAATTCTGCCTCTAATTGTGGAGTCCAGCCTTTCATCTGAACCTGCCACCACCACCACCACCCCAACTCTAGCCCTAACCCTAACTCTTACATAATTTCTACACCACAGCCAAAGTTCTCTAGGCACTTTACAGAGTTCATAAAAACAGATGATAACAGTACAATAAAAATGTAAAATCCAAAACAATTAAAAAGCTTAGGACAGCTAGAAACTGAAAAGAAAAACAGACAGCAACAAGGAATAACAAAACAAAGCACACACACAAGAGTGATTCTGTAAATGGCTGACATTTTGACCCCCCACCCCTCAGCTTCTCCTCATCTGAGTCCACATTGTTGAGCCTTGGAAATACCTGCCAAGAGCAACTGCCCTTCTCACTCCCAACATTACCACTCTTGAAGTTTACCATATGTATATTCATGTTTTGACTTTTCAATTAGGGATACACCAAAGGGGATTCCATATGTCACTGTATTTATTTACTTATTTATGTATTATATTTCTACACTGCCAATCAGTCCAGATATGCAATGAAAGATCATGGCCATCTGATGAAGTAGCCTATTCCTTTTTCTTTGCTTAAAGGTGCAGTATCATTTTAAAGACACACAATAAGTGCCATTCAGTAGAAAGAAAGAACCACAAAAATAAAATGCAGAAAACCTTAATGATAGAACAATCCTTACCCTGGGATTTTAAGTTTCTCCTGAGAGGGATGTCTGATGAACCAAGCATTGTAGGGCATGTAATGCAGGTACGATGCCATCCCACCTGTGAGGAAATCACCTGGCTCATACCACTCATGTGAAATATATACAGACTAATTTCTGGGGCAGTTAATCGCATGCAATTGCTTTCTTTATTTAAATGAGAGAAAGGCAAAGATGGCAACTTGATTGCTGACAGTTGGGAACACGTCTGCAAGCAGGTAGAATAGTTTTTTTAAGATCTGAGCCCTTAAGTGCTTCTACCTTTAGTAATCTGGTCGTAATCTCATTGTAAATGGGGCAGTGGAAGAAGTAATGGATAATGTTCTCCCCTTGACCTGCACCACAGGGGCAAAGGTGTTGCTCAACTGGGAGCTTACATTATCTCCCTTCTAGATATGCAGAGGCCATTGTATGCAGACGCAAAGATGTTTAGCCTTTCTCAATGGGACACTGGTTATCTTATCCAGGTACTGGGAAAACCTCTATGTCTTTTATACTGATGGTACCAAAGTGCAAATTTGGATGATTGGACTATGGTGGCATCTTTGTTGGCTTCCTTTGCAAAAAGCCAAGCTCTAGTGTTTTTCTGTCCCAGGATCTTAGCTCATCCAAGGATTTCAGGGAATACATTTGTAGGATGGGATACAGGAG